ATTCCAAATGATTTTCTGAGTTGAATTTAGATGGTGTTACACTTTCACCTATATTCCTTACTTTGTGGAAAAGTGGTTTTATACAGATTTGCCAGTTTGACATTTTGATAGTGGATTATTTTTTTTATTTGCTGAATTTTTAAGAAGTGTCTTGTTCAGTAAAAAAGAAAATTAATTTTATAAAGAAAAATTGAAGCAGCTGTTAAAATTGACTTAAATAAATCAAAGAATTAAAAAAACCCAAAAAAACACTTTATTTACATATTTAATTATTTACTTGCATACTTATTTACATACTGTATGTACTTATTTATTTACGTACTCATTTACTTATGTACTTATTTATTTACGTACTCATTTACTTATGTACTTATTTATTTACGTACTCATTTACTTATGTACTTATTTATTTATTTCATTTACTTATGTACTTATTTATTTACGTTTCATTTACTTATGTACTTATTTATTTACGTACTCATTTACTTATGTACTTATTTATTTACTCATTTACTTATGTACTTATTTATTTACGTACTCATTTACTTATGTACTTATTTATTTACGTACTCATTTACTTATGTACTTATTTATTTTTACTCATTTACTTATGTACTTATTTATTTACGTACTCATTTACTTATGTACTTATTTATTTCGTACTCATTTACTTATGTACTTATTTATTTACGTACTCATTTACTTATGTACTTATTTATTTACGTACTCATTTACTTATGTACTTATTTATTTACGTACTCATTTACTTATGTACTTATTTATTTACGTACTCATTTACTTATGTACTTATTTATTTACGTACTCATTTACTTACGTACTTATTTATTTACGTACTCATTTACTTACGTACTTATTTATTTACGTACTCATTTACTTACGTACTTATTTATTTACGTACTCATTTACTTACGTACTTATTTATTTACGTACTCATTTACTTACGTACTTATTTATTTACGTACTCATTTACTTACGTACTTATTTATTTACGTACTCATTTACTTACGTACTTATTTATTTACGTACTCATTTACTTACGTACTTATTTATTTACGTACTCATTTACTTACGTACTTATTTACCTATTTAGTTATTTACATACTTATATTAACTTTATTTACTTAATTTACTTATGTACTAATTTGTTTATTTACTTAGTTCACATACTTCTTTACTTATGTACTTGTTTACGTTCTTTATTTATGTATGTATTTACTTACTTTCTTACTGATTTACTTACTTTTTTTTTTTTTTTTAAATGCTCAAGTTAAAAGCAGCCATAATGTTCAGACAGATTTTAAGATCATGTTTAAAAAAAAAAAATGTTTACAAAACTTTGAACCAGCAGAATACTTTTAACCAGTTAAACCTGTACAACTGGTTTACCAGTTAAACACTCTGACATTTAATCACTGATACCAGGAAAGTGGTGAGATCATGTACCTCCAATTTTATAGTTCAAGAAATAACTTGAAACTTATTCAGTGCAATACTGTGCCATACACTTAGGAATAGGGTAAATCTAATGGCTGCAACATTTTGTTTACATATTTTTATAAATAATTCAAAATATTTTTGTGCCTGTAAAGATAAATGTTTTGTTAAACACGATTCCTGAAGTAGCAAAATTTATCAAAAATGCCTAGGGATGATAGTTTATCAGCAAATAGTCAAGTGTCTGGATTTAGCAGCATATTGTGAACGACTGCTTCATATTCTATGTGCTGTGTCCCTTCAGAATTGTGAGCAAACATAACTCTCTACAACTTTGTTCTTTGTAGCTCATCTTCTTGCTATCTCTCCTTATCCCTTTTCTGCCAACCATTTATTTGCACAAGCTTGTTATAGGTAGGTCATTTGCTGCTTTCCTCTGTTCTGCTTGCCTTCCATACATCTTAGAAGTATCCAATTCTCCAGGCCCTCTTTCCTCCTTATGTGCCTTAGGAATTTCAACTGTCTCTTTCAGTGTCCTTTTTGTTTTCATTTTCCTTAAAGCTAAAGAGGATTTTGTTATCAAACTATCTTTGAGATTTTTTTTTTTTTGTTTTTCTATTTTACATTGGGTTGGATGTTACTAAGCTTTTATGTAACCTAACAATATTTTTGTTTGAATTTTACACTTGTATGTTTTCTGTTACTTTAGTTCATTTTAGTTTCTCAATTGAAACAAAAAAAAAAAAAAGAAAGTGTACTTGTACATTTTCATAATGAGGGCAGTGTTGCGTGAAAATTAGTCAGCAGTAAACACAAATTATATACTATGTGGTTTTGGTATTATACTTGTACATAGTTGTAGGATGTGTCAGGCTATGTGACTAGAGTAATTCATTAGAAAGATGAGAATTAGTCAGATTGTCTTCCAAGTTGTAATTTGTGAAGTAAATGTAAAATGAATAAAGAGGGCTTATCTTTTTGAAAATCACTACAGTAAGTCCCCAGGTTATGACAGTCCCAACCTACAGAGATTTGTGGTTATGACACAATCTCTATTAATTTTGTTTCCTGATTGTGTGCCATATTGTTGTGCATTCACTCTTTCATTTTTGTTCTGTTTGCGGAAACTTATTGCCCTTTATTATGGATTCCAAGCATAATGTAACCTCTTCTGATGTTGGTGTTTTGAATTAAAGGAAAGCCATTACCATGGAAGTGAATTTACAGCTACATTCTGGCTTAATCGGAAAATTGCATTATGATGCCTCATAGGAATGGAAGGAACTCTGTTTTAAAACGAGGACCACCTGTATCTTAAATTACTTTGATATAACTTTTGCAAGACCATATCACTGAAATAAGTAATGAAGTTTATTTTATTTTATCTTTCAGCCCCACCTGGAAAATGAGGAATTTGGTGGTTAAATTAATATAATTCTCATTAAAATGTTTCAGATTCCTCTAGCAAAATGCTTGTGCTTAATCTGATTTAAAAAAAAAAAAAAACATTTAGTTTCTTCTAAACCAATTAAAGAAGTAAGGCAAAACTTCCTTTCAAATGCCAAATGTTTTAATCTATTTTTGTAACTTTAATAAAAGTATAACTTATCCTGGTCTCTTGTCTGTAAAGACAATAAAACCAAAAGTGAAACTCTTACACTAATGTTTTGTTTGTTGGGGAACTTCATTAATGTAAATGTGGAGATTTTGTAACTTTTATTTATACACAAAAGTAATAAATTACATTCACTTATTGTCCTCTATGATTTCTTTCCTTATTTAACGATATTTTAGAGCATTCTCATATTCAAAATTTGGTAACTTAATATTTTTCCTCCATGTTGCTTTTGTGTATAAATACATTTTACTAAATAAAAATTCTCACATTTACCTTGAAGTTCCTCAAGGAACAAAACATTGATATTGTAAGCTTTTTATGTGCAGTCTTACCCCCCTCCCCCCAAAAAAAACCCACCACCTTATATAATGCTCTTGTACTGTTGAACACTTATAATTTATTTATTTTTTTTATTTTTTATTTTTTTTATTGCTGCTTCTCCACTTAAGGTTGGGGAAGACATCCTCACGAATCTGGCGATATTGGCTGTACCTTCTGTTGCCATATGGATATTTTTCCTCCTTAGCAGTTTTAGTGGGTGTACTCATATATATATATATATATATATATATATATATATATATATATACTGGCTACACTTAATCAAACAATTTAGGTCAACTAAAGTGTGTAGAAATGCCTATATCATGACAGGGTGCCACTGGCTACCTTGATGAGTGTGCTTAACTTATAAAACTGTTAATAGTGGACAGTCACATGAGCATCTCATTATGAGAAAAAAATATTTTGTACGGGGTGTCCCAAAAGTTGTGATGGGAGTTTAAAAGTGATATTAATCCTTAAACAGACAATATTATTAATTTATTTTAATATAATTATGGTAATTAAATGGAAATTAAATCAATTATGGAAAATAACACATGGTAATTGACCACCATTTTGGACCTGGCACTCATGGGCTTCAGATGAAATTAAAAAAAATATGTTATGCTTTATTTTACATAATTTGGCAACACGTTTCGGGTGTCATGACCTCCTTCAGGCAAAGAATGAATATTTCCACATATTAAAATTAATTAATTTTCCTTGTGTTAAACATTCTCTTTTTTTTTTTTTTTGTGTGTGGTAGTGACACAAATGTCTTTCTTGAACTGGCAGTGAGAAATTTCTTCTGCATGAAGAGTAATAAAACAATTAAGATTGGTCCAAGAAAGGGTGAGGAAAGATATCTGTATTCTTATCTTTTAACGAGCCCTATATGTTCTTAGATGTATTTCCATTTTTTTTGTATTGCGTGTGTTTTTGTTAGCATGCGTATATATACGTATATTCCCTCTCCATACATACTGTTTTATTATAAGGAAAATATATATAGCAAGTATGCCATTAATGCGTAAAATGAATTTGGATGAAATGAGGTCATCTAAAAATGTCTAATAAATGGTATATAACATTTTTATTTTACAAAACATGGCAAATTGCATGATTATATACATTTTATTTATTTATTTATTTATTTTATTTTATTTTTATTTTTTTTTTGAAAGCAAACATCTTAATGAAGAGATAAATTTTCTAAATTTATTGCCTGTCACTTTGTGCATGTTTATGATACCTCTTTGAAATACTCTGCCCTCTGTTGATCAACTTCAGAACTAAACTGGGGAGACTAATATAATATCCTCTGCTACTAAATATTTAAAGATAAGTAGTTTTAAAAATGAGCTACCACAGATAATGACATTTCAAAAGTGGCATTAAGATTTTTTTATTATTCTCATCTCAATTTTTTTATAAACAAGTAAATTCTACTTTGTTGTTATTAGTAGTAGTAGTAGTACTACTAGCAACAATTTATTTGCTGATGTCCACTTGTTATATATCCTAATTTTGTTTGTGCTTTGCTTGTAAAATTATTCATTTTTTTTTTTTCTTTTTTTTTCTTTTCCCCCTCTCTTTTATTTAGAAGCCGGGATGACTTAGAAGAAAAACCAGTACAAAAAAATAAAAAAAGGTGTTATCGTTGTAATTGCAAATTAGAATTAGCTCAACGTCAAATTGGTCTATGTCGCTGTGGTAAGTATTTAAATTTGATTTTTATTTTTTCTCTTCTAATGTATCAGATATTTTTCAGTGAAATTTGTGTGTTTGTATCTAGACTAATTTTATTTAAATTATATATATGATGGACTGGCACTCATTCAGTTTTTATGTCTGTGTCACTTCAGTCCCGCTACCAATATTAAACAGGTGAACTTCCTCAATATTACATTGGACCTTGATAACATATTCCAACCATACATGAAAGCTAATGTGAACCCTGTGTGTGTAATATATATATATATATATATATATATATATATATACACACACACACACACACACACACACCTGAACTCTAACCATGCTCCGTCAGTAATTAAACATATACTGTCTTCCAAAGAATTTAGTAATGATTCTTCTAACAAAGATGTCTTCTATAAAGATTGTGGTTTTTATAATACTGCTCTAAAAAATAGTTGTTACAGAGGCACCAAAATTCAGTATAGCAACCCCAACAGTAGCAACTGGAATAAGAAGAAAAGGAATAGGAAAATCATTTGGTTTACACCACCATTCAACCAAATGGTAAAAACTAGGCTAGGGCAGAAGTTTCTCAACCTAATTAATAAGCGTTTCACTAGTAATAATCTACTTAATAAAATCTTCAATAAAAACACACTGAAGTTAAGCTACAGCTGTACCAATAAATTCAAAAAAAATCATAAAGAAACACAATAACAAACTCCTAAACCAATACAAAAACCAGAAAATGTGATAAATCTAAGAACTAGTATCGATAATGCAAGCAAATATAATTGTAGAAAACTTAGTAATTGCCTATTGCAAAATAAATGTTTGCTGAGCTCTCTAGTTTATCTAGGCACAATTTCCACAATAGAAGACAAGTCTGAAAAAATTCTATATAGGGAGCACTAAGAATGCTTTTAAGACTAGATGGTATCAGCATAACTTATCATTCACAATAATATTGCACAAATTCAAATAAATTCAATCACAATTTTGATTTTAAAAATGCTACACTCAAAAAAAAAAAAAAAAAAAAAAAAAGAAAAGAAAAAAATTTACTCAGAAGAAAAGTCCATGAGAGTACTGCCATTAAATATTATCCAAATATTAATCTATGCCACAGTTTTCCCCCAATATTACCTTTCCTAACAGAATCGCTATTCTCCCAAGCCAACATATACAACAAATATATCAAGAAATCAAAAGAAAACAGTTCAATCTGTCAACACAAACAATATTTCTACATGTGAAAATTTTCTCTTCAAACATAAAGTAATTGACATAATTTTTCAGTTGACCCAATGAATATATAATAGCGTTTCAAAATTCTTCTAGTTACTGATGACATTTTGTTTTTTGTTCATAGATACTTTGTCTCGGTAAATTCACTTTTTTTTTGCTTTGAAAAAGTCCACATTGGACAAAACACTGCTAAAACTACAGTTTTCCTATTGTCTTTTTTCTTTTTTATTTATTCATTGTTGGAAAAAAAAAAAAAGCAAATAGACAAATATTTATAAAAATATTTTGGAAAATAAGCACAAATTTTCTTTTATTTTGATTTTTTTTTTTTTTTTTTTTTTTTTTGTGAAATTTGGATTTAATATTTTTTTTTTTCTCTTTTCCTTTCAGATTATGTGTTTTGTAAAGCACACAGGTTACCAGAACAACACAATTGCACTTTTGATCACAAAGAAGATGGACGCCGAGAAGCCCGTGAAAAAAATGATCAAGCCTGTTCGACACTTAGGAACATCGTTCAGAAGACTGGATTCCGATTCCTGAAGACTATTCCTTCTACTATGCACTGTATTCATGAATTCAATTTCAATGAAATTGAAACAAAAAAAACAGCAAAAACTTAACATGTTCCTCTTACTTTATTTTTTTTTTTTAAATTTTTTTAAATTTTTTTTTTTTTTTTTTATTTGAAAAGACTGCTTAAGAAAGGAAACAAAATAAATAAATAATAAAAAAAAAAAACAAAAACCAGAAAAGCAAGTTAATTCTTTGGAATTGGAACTTTGTAATCTTCTGGATTCCCAGCAAAGTTTTCTTTTGGCTTCAAATTGAACCATGAAATGGTTTATTCTATCAGGGTTGTTAGCTTACTCTCGCAGGTATTAGATAGTTGGACCTGTATTTAATAATAATTATAATGTTGATAAAGCAAAAAGAAAGATGAAAAAAAAAAAAAAAATAAGAAAACAATATATCTGAAATATTTTAAAAACTTTGGTAGAGAACTCCTTTGAGATAACATACATTCATTTTTTTTTTTTCTATAGAAATATTAACATTTACTGTTTTATTAACACTTTTTTTTCTAAATATACAATTGTGTTACCTCCAAGAAAATGTGAGCCCTTGAAGCTGTCAAATTATTTGACAATGGAAACTTGCTGGTCAGAATTTGGAAAGAACCCCTCAAAAAAATAAAATTACATATTTGAATAAATAAAATTTAAAAATATGAACTTGAAGAAAGGAATGTAAAAAAGGAAGAAATGTATGGTGAATGGATTTTTCCCCCCCCTCTAATAATTTATGAAGAATTTGACGGATGTTTCTTCCATTGGATCGGGTTTTTTGTTTTTTTTCTTTCTGTGAAGTACCATATAGCAGCATGTACTATGTATATCTCTATACCACACACACATACACTCACATGCTCACACTTACACATTTTTCATCTCTCTACTTAGCTTCTCTGAAAGGAAAAAAAAGCAAAATCTTGGCACATTGTGTGAACATTTCAGGTATACCTCAAGAGAGATGATTTACCCATATAGGATATATGCAGTACTTTTTCCAAATAAAGCTGTATTATCTTGGTTAGTTAATTTATTTTATATATATTTTTTTTTCTGATCCATTTTTTTTTTTTTCTTCTCTCTAATGTGCTAATTGATATATTTTTCTACCTCCCACCCTTCCTTTCATCTCTTATGTCTGAAGAATTTGACTGATTCTTTTAGGGTTACTTCAATTTGCTCACTAATTTCATGATTCAAAAAGGAACTTGTCAGTCTGGTTTGATTCTGCAATTAGGCCACTTTTTTGATCCAGCTAATTTTAATTATGGATGTTAATGTTACATTTAGTGAATTCATAAATAATTTTGGTCAGCATGGCTGAGATGGCAAAATGCTCCAACTGAGTAGGAACCAGTAAAATATAATTTTTGTTGCTTAATTGAATATTTTATGTTAAAGCAGTTGCTACAATCAAAAATTGTCTTCAAGATTAATACACTTAGATTTAATTAACTTGATTTCTCTCTCTCTTTTGTATGTCTCTGTGTGCATCTGTCTCATATATATATATATATATATATATATATATAAGCCTCTACTGACGTTATACTGGACAAAATGATTGAATAGAGCCTAAATAAAATGGGCACTATTATTAATGTAATTTCTCTCTCTTCAGAGCAATGTTTCTTTCTGAAGGGTTAGCTAAACTATTGATTACATTCTTTTATTGCTTTTGCTATTATTTTTCAGCCTATTCATTCCCTTGTTTTCTAGTGTACAATCTATATGGAAAGAGGTCATTTTACCAATTTTTTTGTGTGTATATATATATATATATATATATATATATATATATATATATATATATATATATATCTCAGAAAATAGTGTCAATGAACCTTTAACACTGGCAACTCTGTGTTGCTATATAATTAGTTGGTAATTATATCTGCTGTTCTTTCCATATATACATTGTATAGTTGGGAAAGGTTGTCAATAAGAATGAAATAATTAGCCAAAATAACTCTTTGAATGCTAATGACTTCTCTTAAAATGGAAGAGATGCATTATTGCAGTGCTTGAAGGATTATAAATCATTTTGAAGCAGATTATTAGGAGCAAATTCCATTAGATTCAGTAAAAGATTAAAAATTTTTTTTTTTTTTTTTTAAACAAATTTATATGGTGGTGGTGGGGGATAACTCTGGGTACACATTGAATTAGGCAGGCATGTAACTTGAGCATCTTTTCAGACTATTATTGAAAAATTTAATCTGGCATTTCTACAGAAACGTTCCTCTCTAAGAAATAAATTTTAGCAGTGTTTAACTTCATACCTGCAAAAAAAACAGTCAAAAGCATGTTTCCCCTCCCACCGGATTTATAAATTTTCTTTGTTTTACAAAAAATATTAAACACTATTAGATTGCTTATTGGAATAGTTGCCAATCAATTCGACTTTATAAAATAGTAAATAAGAATTTCCATATAGTTGGTTCACATTTTTATAATTTAGTAAATGTTTATAAATTGGTAAATGATAAATATTGTATTTCATTAGTTGTATTAAATATAAAATTATTATTGTAAATTAGGTACCTCTAAAAAAATTTTCTATAAAGAGTATACTATGATGAAAAAGGCCCCAAACTTGATAAAATACAAAGTTTTATGAAAATCTTTGTTATTAAGAAGAAAGACCAAAGTATTTAATTACTTTATTAAATTTTTAATCCTTTTAGCATGTTTGAAGTTTTGGCTAAAAATCTTCAGCTACTAGGCCAAAGACTAGTATAGCCAGATATTTTTTATTTTTTTTTTTTTAAATCTGTATCTCGCGTATGTGTTTGTATACATGTCTTGTGTTTATGTATCCCTGTCTGAATTTTTAGTTTAATTTTTGTACACTTATGATCAGTACTACTGACTGATATATTTCATAAACATTATTCCAGTTACACTACACCCCAACCCTCCAGTCGATGAGTTAAGGCTGCCATTTTCTTTGATTTTTTTTTTTTTTTCAATTTTAAGTTGGGCTAAATGTAATTTACCCTTTTTCAGTTAATACATTCAGCTTAAGAAAAAAAAAGCATACTGTACAGAATAAATTATTTAAAAAGAACATTTGAAAATGAGTTGAAAAAAAAAAAAGTGTCCTTTGAAAAATGGCATGAGTCATCGGAGATTTTTAAAAGATTAATTTTAAAATTAAAGCAAGAAATACATTGTTCCAGCTTTGATAGGGCTCAGCCCAACAAGCTACATTCATTTTATTTAATTTTCTTTTAACATCTGAATCTTTTGTCTTTATTATGAACAATATCAACAAAGAGTATTTGACACACACACACACACACACACACACACATACATACATATAAATTCTTAGTAATTGCTGACACATTTTGTTTTCCAACTTTATCAGGACAAGCAATGAAAATGCTTTGTACTTAGTTACATCAAATCCAAAAAGTTTTTCTCATTGTTAAAGCAATTTGTCTTATCTTCAGAATTATTCTGGGAAATATATAATGTATTGTATTATATTACATTATATATATATATATATATTAGACTCTCCTGTACCTGTTGCCTTAACTCTCTCTGTCCGGTGGACTTGTTGCTCAGGTGGAATAGTAAAGAAGGAACACAGAACTGAACTGCAGACTATCCACACAAAAGATTTGTTTAGAGTGGTGAAGGCTTGTGTAGAACCAGCCACACGTATTGAAAATACTGATAACAAATTGGTGCAAATATTTGCCATGAACTACATCCCTCAGGTTTTATCACAGTTATACCTCACCAGTACTACCAGTGCACAGAAGAGTAAAGCTCCTTTCAAGGAGATATATATAATTATCCCATCCCTATAAACCACTTCAGCAGGCAGGTTACATCACATTATATATATATATATATATATACACACACACACACACTCATTATATAATGTATATCTTCAGAATTATTCTGGGAAATGTATGTATTATATAAGGTATTATATAATATTGTATAATATATTATATACATATTTCCCAGAATAATTCTGAAGATAAGACAAATTAATTTAAAAATTACAATTGGAAAAACTTTTGGGTTATTGATGTAACTATGACTACAAAACATTGTTTTCATTGCTTGTCTTGATAGATGAAATGTCTTGGCAATAACTAAGAATGTTTTGCAATTGTCATTTTTAAACCATATAAGCATTTTTTTTTTTCATTTATACCAGGTTGATGGAAAGTTACTAGTTGTCTCCCTTTCCCAACCCTTAATATTCTGGATTATTTTCTTGGTTTCAATTTCATATTTGAAAATATATTTTTTGATGTCTAAGTACTTTGACGATCGATTCATTATCAGTGAATTTCTGTATCATTGCTCTCATTTTCAAGTATCATGTTTTGTATGTTTTGTATGTTTACGTAACATTTTTACCTTAACAAGACTTAGCCATAATCAAAAACTAACATTAGTGAAAGTAATTAGACATTGGAAAACATTTTCAACCCTGATACTAATTACATAATCCAGAACTTTTCAGCAACAATGTCTACAAAATGAATATCTCCAGTTAATCACTTCCCCTACTGTTAAAATGTATCTTCCAAATACACCTGGGGTGAATGCGAAAAGTAATAGCTATATTTGATTATGCATTTGGAATAAAATGTCAACATGTGCATATTTGAAACTATTTGGTCAGCTGTGACTCTACCCAGTTTATTTCTGACTCATGATGACCTGTTCCAAAATTTTTCTAAGTTTCTTTTGCTATTGGCCATCTTAAAATGTCATGGTTCTTTTTATTCTGACAAACAATCAATAAAGGAGTTAGCTGCAGATCAGTGAAAATTTAAGCATCCATATACCAACTATAGACACAAATGAAGATGTCTAATTTTTAATTATGGGATTACAATGGAAAAAAATGCCAACTCTTGCATAGAAAGATTATGATTAGCTCTGCTAGTGAATTTTGAGTTTATCATTGCTGGGGTTTTTTGTTTTTCCTTTCTGGCCTATAAGAAATTATAACATTCCCTATTATTTTATCATTGTGCTAAAGTTTTGAAAAAAAATAAAAAAAATAAATTTGGCTTTTTAAGGTAAATAATTCATGGAAAAAGTTTTTAAAATGTCAGATATTAACTATTCATACACTTTACTAAATTGTAGAATTAGAACAACTTCTCTTAAAGCTTATGGAAAGATTACATTGATGCCATTTCTTTTTTTAAATTTTCTGTAACAATTTCAGTTGGATTCATTCACTTTTGTGCAAATACTCTTAGGAAAAGTATGAATCCAGCTCTTCTCTCCACCCCCTATCAGCTATGGGTTGAATAGCAGGACAGTGGGTCCTATATTCTTGGTTGGCAACCTACTTCTGGAAAATCTGCTGAGTTACGAATTGAAAGAGACATGATTGCACTAGCATGTATGGAATTTTAACTAACTAATCATTTCATGGGCTTACAGGTACATCACATTGAAACTGAAGTTAAGCAACGGTCAGTACCTAGATGTGTGACCAATTTGAAGTACCAGATTCTGTAAGCTTGGATGTAATTGGAGAGATGAGTTCCATATCATGTTGGGTTCATTATATTCACTTACAGGCAAATTCAAAGATATGAATCCACGTCTCTCCTCAGTTATGGTTTAATTACTAAGATTTGTATCACTAAATATTATCTAAAAATTCTTAGAATCTAAAAATATTTTGTGGCTTTAAATAACCTGCAATGGGTTAAGTTGTACAGAAACAACCCATGAACTGCTCTTAAATGTAAATGATTAATAAAAATGAAATAGTCTTTAAGGATATGTAGAAATCTTTTTTTGTAGATAGCTAAAGTAGGTCTTAAAAATTGCTATTTTTTTTTTTTTTCACCAAGCAATCTTTAAGGCTATTTCAAATAAAATTACTTATACAACTCTTATTAAAAACATTAATTTAGCTGTATTCTTGGATAAGAAATACTGCATTTTACTGAAAAATTCTAAAATTTGTAAAACTGTTTCATGTTTTAAAAAAATTATCAGAAATTTCAATTTCTGTCTGAATTTCTAGGATGAAGAGTTTACTTTTGGTTTGTCCTCACCTTTGTTGTTAGCACAATGTTTTGCCATTTATGCCCTCCTATCTTCAGGAAATTTTTGAACTGAATCCATTAATTTGGATTGTTCTCATTCTGCCAGCCATATCTAGGAATGTCTTCTTATTTCATACTGTTCTGTAATTACTAACTTTTATCACTGACTCCAGGGATTGAACTTGCAAAAATTAAAAAAAAATAAACCTTGTGAGCTGTGACTCTACCCAGTTTAAGTCCAACATTCCCTGAAGGTTACCTGATTTGACAAACATTTGAAGAAGGCTTGAAACATAAGAGATGAAAACAATAGTCCAAATATAAATAAGATTTCAATTATAAATTAACTCATACTTTTTATTTTCTGTCATAAGAGAGTGGACATAAAAATATTAACATTTAAGTAGGAAGATCAGATCCAGAGCTTTCTATGTCCTTTTAGTATGTGAACTTCAAGGATTCATTCTACCTCATGATTATAGCAGCATTTGTAGATTTTCTTTTATCCCAATTTTTAGAATTTTAACCAGCAGGTGCAAACTTTAAAAGTAAATAGATTTTAAGCAGATATTTTTTTTTTCCCTAATTCTAAATTGTGTTTTTACAACTTAAAGAAAAATGAACATGGTATAATTTATTTTTTAATATAAGCTCATGGTTAAGTATAGATAAAGACAAATAGAATTTGGTATTGTATTGCAAATAGGCCCTTTTAGCTGGAGGATTGGCACAACTGATTTCTTGTAAATGAAAATATTTCCACCCAAATTGGAATTTCCAGTCCTTATTTTTTATTTTTTTTGTGTTGCTTTATAACTTTGTTCAATCCATGTCTTCATAAAATGTGGAAATTCTCTTTCAGGTTTACAATATTAACATACTCAAATCAGTTGTAAGTTTATGCAATTTGCAGAATTTGGGTTTCTTCCTGCCAAGGTGGTAGTCAGAATAATATTTGTTCATAAGGCTTACCCCCCTTGTTGCTATATTGGTGTATATCTCATTGAAAGAATTGGTTTATGCTGAAGATTACCATGAATGAAATTGACTTTAATTCCAGCAGAATTCATAAAACTTGAATTGCATTTCAGGTGCTTGGGTGGGGGGAATAGCCTTGTTTGCCAGGAACTCACCATAAAGGTAAGATCACTGTAAATCAGATCAAAAGTTATGCTTGGTATTTTACACAAACCTCTTGTATTACATAGTCTTGTATTATTATTTTGTTGTTTGAGGCATGGGAAAAAAATTTTTTTTAAGTCAATCCGTTTTACAAAATTTAAATATTTAATGGCTTCTTTACCTAACCCATATCCTTCTGGTATCAGTTTACACTGATACCCATTCTGACCCCACCCCTTTTTTTTATTTATTTATAGTTCACATTTTCTTGTTCTCATCTGAAGATTTGGAAATTTTCTGTTTCCATAATTCTAGTCTAGAGGGTGGGTGGACTATATCAGTTTAAATTGATGCAAAGATGATACCCTAACTGCTACTTCAATTCAAAGTTCTACAGATAGTTATTTACTAATCATAACTTAGATTTAGCACAAGGCTGCAAGTACAGAGCAACCAGTAAGGATTAAAATTTGCGATTGGTTTAGGAAGACTGACTAAATGTGTCTTGAATTGCCCTCCAAAGACATGTCAACTAAGAGATTCATGGGTATTATAGATAGAAGTATGGATTTGTATAATTCTGTATCCTGTCAATCTTAAAGTCCAGAGAATTGCAGTTTTAAAATGGAATATTCATTTTTGTCGTGCAGACCAAAACTAGGACTTCCATCTAAATTACCTCCCCCTGATTAGAAGAGATGACCTAAGAAAAAAAAAAAATACGTTCATATTTTCACTCAAATAAAAACACTTTAGTCATTTACAAGTTTTTGTGGAGTATTTTTAATTAAAAGTTAAAAAATATAAACAGAGGAATGGAAATGTGTTCAAAGTTTATGAATTGTCAATGAGCAAAATGTACATTTCAAACGATTGTCTCTGTAGAAGGATTTTCTTTTAAAATGTTGCTAAAGTTCTTCTTTCCTCTCAATTTTCAAGAGTTCCACTTCAAATATCAAAACAGCTTCACCTGGTGGGGAAAAAATTAAAAAAGTTATAATGTAAAGAAAAATTTTCCCTATGGCAGTGATTGATATTTATGCATAAGAGTTCAGTTTTACATACTTTAGTAACATATTTCTCTAATGAATAAATAACATTGTAGCAAGGAATCTTAATCCTTTAGTAACACTTTGATTTAATATTCAGGAATTGATAAAACCTCATTAAAATGTGTGCGCATTATAAAAGTTAAAATTAAATTTCTCACCTGCACAAAACACAAGTCAATTATAATTCCAATTTCTCTTCTGGTTACATTGAGCACTAATCCCCCTCCACACTTCCACTTAGATTACTACCTATCTATGCAATTCTGGTGTCAAGTTGGTATTTAGTTTAACAATGCATAAATTTAAATTTTCAGATATATTTAGACTGAATTACAATATTTATTTCCAACCTGGAATCTTTGGAGGAGCTCCTCTTGAGCCATAGCCCATATCTGGGGGGATAACCAATTTCCTTTTTTCTCCTTCGCACATGCTACAGAGGGAAAAAAATAAAAATCAAAAATCTTAGCATAGTACTTTTCAATACAAATACACAGGATACTAAAATAAACTATTTACTTTAGGAACAAAGGATTATAGACAGAGTTAGTGAATAAAGAAAAGCCATTGGTGATAAGTAGTTTCAATTGTGGATGTGTGTGCATATATATATATAAATAAATAAAATGTATGATCACATCTGAATCCAACAACAAAATAAAGAACAAATATGAAACATTTATCAACCCTATATATTTTTGGGACCAAGAGTCAGTTAAGCCACAACACACCCAAAACCACATGGTAAATATTGGATCTCAGTATTTGCTGTTTGCAGTCAAAGTCTCCCCATTGGCAGGACTTGCATTATTTTCTATGACACTGTAATTTCCTGTTGAAATCTGTATGATTCTATTCTTGAGTAATGTCTATTATCTTTATGTAAATGGTGGCATTGACCCTCAGCTGACACAGTGGGGCCCCATACTGAACCACCTGTCATTTTATATCTATCCGCCTGGGGACTTCTTGTCAATCCAAATTCTCACTGAAACTCCTATGAATGTCCATCGATAATTTGCCCGTGACCTTAAACACAAAGAACCTGGCAATTTTCAAGAAGCTGATTATCTCAACTGCTGTAGCTGGCAGACAGTATCATATGCAGGATATATTTTTTTTTAATTTATCAGATTGGAAGCTGTCATGTTAATGCACTTGATACATTTGAAAGAGAAATGAGAATGTTAAAATTTGGTCCATGCTATTTAGCATTAGGTTAGGTCATCTTCCATTTATGTCTCATTGAAGGCATGTTCTCAAATATCTGGCAAACCATATATACATGTATGTACATCAATTTTCAGAATACACAGATGCTGTGATTGAAGTCAGAAGTACTTATTCTTATCTAAACAATCTAGTCCTTTTTATTGGTACTCTGCTAGTTGCAATGATAATTCCAAAATGACATAAGAATAATTCTTGGAGAATTTATTCTGTTTTTTGGTTAAACAATTCCAACCAGGAGGATAATGTATTGTCATCATTTCTGCTAGTGCCAGTGGATCTAATATTAAAACTTTGCCTAGTTTTGCATAGTGTTAAAAACAGAAAAGACAAAGAGGTGTTAAAATGTCATATACCTACCCCAACAAACCTTGGTCCCAGCCCTTGATTACTTGACCGGCTCCAAGAGTAAACTCAAATGGTTCATTTCGAGAGTGACTGCTGTCAAATTCTGTTCCGTCTTCAAGTTTGCCCTGGAATTGTTTTTTAGTTAAAAATAAACAAAAAAAAGAAAGCACCTATTTCCCCCTTACAGCAATATGGTCTACAATCAACTCATTTATACCCCCCCCCCCCAATAGATTCTGGTTATTTGGACAACAGAAGAACTACAGCAATCAGGCACAACTGAGCAGCATTTATAATTTTGGAAAGCAACATATGAATCGAAACAAATGCCTTTTCAGTTTTGTGTACATAAACGATTTTAATGATCTTAACTAAATCAGTGCAAGTATTTCATATAGATAAATAGAAAAACCTTTGACAAAGCTTAACATACATACCTACCAAAATACAGTGTGTCAAAAGAACGTTTTTCTCTTGATGCTGCTATTATTGTGTAAGCCAGCAGTAAATTTTATTGTTTTAAAAAGATATTTTTAGAATTTTAATAAAACCCAAACAGGAAATTGGATCTCTGCTTATTTATTAGACTGTTTAACATTTTTGCCACTTCTTGAGGAAAAAAGTATAAATCCAGATGCACACAAACAATTTTAGTGAATTTATGTGGCAAGAGCAAATAAAAAAAAAAAAAAAAAAAAATGCCTGGAAATTTTTTTTTCAAAATTAATAATTACAGTTACCTCGCCATCATGTATTTATTTACATTTTCTTGTTCAAACATTTTTATAAATCTATGAATAAAAAAAAAAAAATCTGTTTTCATTGTTATTTCTTTATGAAATGGGAAATAATAAATATCACATTGTAGTTTGTTCACATATATTCTTGTAAATAAACAATCTGCTAAAAGAGTGTTTAATTTTTTTGTTTTCAGTTACCAAGGAAAAGAAAACGTATAAATCCAATTTCATTGTTTTTTAGGTTTTATTAAAATTCTAAGAAAAAAAAAAAAAAAAAAAAAAAAATCCTTTTTGACATTTCTTTTGCAGACACTTATGTTAAACTTTGTCTTGCCTTCATTATGTTCTTGCATACAACCCTTTCACAAGGATGCAACATCACAAGCCTATTGTTATTTCCATGGAAAATGTTCTGAAGAAGTACACTCCTTAGTTCCACCAGTTCAGACCTTTACAACTAACACCGGCCATGCCACATATACCGAGACAGATCATGCTCATTGCCTTTGTATTCCATTAGTAAGAAGGAAGTTCCAATTGGACAGCTTCTTCCCAACAGCCACTGATCTGTAGAACAGACTCCTAAGAGGATGCTTCTCTAACCACTACAATCTTAACCTCTCAAAGTTCAGACTTAACCATCTTACATGGTCTGATAATCTACAATTGTTACTTCCTCTTAACATGCTTCTTTTTAAACTGGTGAATGAAACCAGAATGAAAAAATGAATTTTGAAAGACTTAAATTTAGATCTGTCTATATTGGAGATGAGGTATTGTAACTGTTTACATTGTTCAGACTGTTGTCCTCATCTTTATTGTCATATCCATGATGTTTCGGCCATTGTACATGCAGGCCTTCAGGTGATATATGTTACAATTTCAAACTAAACCTTTTATTTCATCCATGGGGTTAGAGTGTTCTAGTTCCACATGCCATGCCTCTTTCTGGATATCTCAGAAAGAGTTTATTTCCTTTTAGTAACTCAGCTCTCCAAGTTTATGTTCACCTCTTCTGTGGCCAGGTATTGAATTCACAATTCTTTGGGTCAAGTCACTAGATTACTTCAACCAACGCTTTTATCCACTGGGCAACATGTCCTTCAAAATTCTAACACATCACCTAAAGAAGGTCAGAGCATACAATGGCCAAAATGTTGTGAATATGACAACTGTCTGAACAATGTAAAAGTGTAAATAGTTAAATTTAGATATTTGTATTATTTATTTCTAAATGTGGAAAATGGGATCTAATTGTATGAAATAATTTTGCTCTCATGAACAAAGAAAATTTAATTTTTTCTGTCAATTTTTGGTTAAAAAAAAAAAAAAAACTTCAATGAATCATTAACAAAACATGCTTTACATTTTCTGCTTATCATAAACTCAACTGAAAATACAATGGGGAATTAAAAAAAAAAAAAAAAAAACTTGAAAAATTTAGTCAATATGATTCAGGTAACTAAATGAAAAAAAATCTCTTAATCAAGGCTTTAAAACTCGATTGTGAATGGATGGAATGTGGTAATATTCTTTATACAGAAAAATGCATGCATAATACTTCAAGTTTTTTTTTCTTAAAAAAAAAAAAAAAAAAAAAACCTTTATCATAGTTTGTGACTTCATTTGTTATTTATTCTTCACTGAAGGTGACTAATCCCTAAACAAAAAGGGTGTTTTAATTTCATAGTTGTGGCCATATCCTGTTATAGCAACAGAAAACGATTTTGAATGAAATTAAGAATAAGGATACTGCAATTGAGGGGCCTTGAAAAAATGCAATGGAAAGAGAAGTAATATCAACAATGCAGAGTGCAAAAGGTTAAGGAAAAAATAGTTTATTTGCGAAGATGCTTAAGCTGACATTGAGCGTTTCTTTGCATTTAATTTTACCCTTGAAGGATCAACAATTTGCCAAATAGATGGGATTATGTTATTAAGGAGAGGAAATATTATCTTCATTAAATATATTAAAGATGCATTTATTTCTTTTCTATCTTCAAATGTGACAACCTAATAAAGCCAGAATTTTGATAGTTGACTTTCAAGGCACCCCCCACTAACCAGTCTGACTCAAACAATCTTTATCCATTTGACCTTGTGCCAGACTAAACTATCATAAGGGTGCTTACTCTAAAGCAATGTTTAGCAAGTTTAACTTGCTAGTGTAGAATATTTCTCACAGAGTACTCTAAATTGGCCTTGTGCCAAACTAACCTAACCTTAGTGAAAGACCAATGTGACAATGGTAAAGAAAAAAAGTTTAAATTCTCACCGTATAGTGCATTTTCAGGACGTCCCCTTTCTTTGACTTGACTTTGCATTTCTCAGGCTCAACACGTTTTTTTACACCAATTTGTAACCTTTTCACTTTTTTCTCTTCTTTCTTCTCTTCGGCTGCTTTGGCTAAGTGCAGTGCAAATAGACACACACAAATTGAGATGAACCACTTCATACCTGAGAAAAAGATTTGCAACAAAGCTTTAATTACTCCTATTTAAAAACAAATTTAATATAAGCAAGTATCAAATATCATTAACATTGGATATACCTTAATAAAAGGGTTCTCAACCAGAGGGGGAATTTCAGAATTCCCAGAGAGAAGGAAATATCTTTTTCTTGTTTTTTTTTTATTTACATATTTAATTTTCTTTATTGAATTCCAATAGTTTGACATTCTATTGAACTTGTTTATTTAAGAATACTTCAGTTTATTCATTTAATAACTAGATATGAATTAAAACAAATTACTGTACATGTATTCAAGTTTAAAAATCCATCAACATTTTCTATTGCTATTAATTAACCTTTAACAATCTGCATTATTAATATTACTTCCCTTTCCACTGTATTCTTTTTAAAGGCCTCTCAATTATAGTATCCTTATTGTTAATTTCACTCAAAGGGGTTTTCTGTTATAGTAGGATATGACAACACAAACACCAAATTCAAACACTTTTGTTTTGTAATCAGTCACCTTCAGTGGCAGGATAAACTTTTTGTACAGCAAATGAAGTCACATAAAGAGTGATAAAAGGTTAAATTTGTATAACACTCCTCCATAAAAATAAGCCATATAAATGTATATGTACCAATGTGGAAAAGAATGAAGATTTTCGCTAATATATACATATTATTTGGAATGCATCTTTTGAGTCTGACAAACTTGGAAAGGGTGGGGAATGACATTTTGACTTAGGGTGAAAACTGTATTGGGCCAAAAAGATTGAGAATCAATGACTTAATACAAGAGGGTCTTACATATAGGAAGACTTATTATTGTGAAGAGGAATGCAAAGCAATTCCTTTATGATATACATCATCTACAAAATTGTACTAGTTTTTAATTGTTGTAGGGGCATCACATGTATAGCAATTACAGCTGTCATGCTATGTCTCTGGCAAGATAACCTATTTGAGCTGGTTTCCTTCTAGACTGGTTGCCACCTCAAGGCAAGAGAGCCTCACCATCTAAGAGAATTAGATGGTGGTGTAGAAGAAGAGATAGCTTCATAACTTTCTCAAGGGTATTTGAGTGCAACTCACCAATTTTTAAATTTCCAAGTCACTAACCTTCATACCATTCACACGTCATATTGTTTACAAAACATTTTAAGAAATTTACATTAACTCCCAGTTTTTTTTTCCCCCAAAAAAATGAGTCTCAGGGAGATTAATGTCAAAATGTTTACCATTCATTATGTCATGTGACACTGAAACAGGATTCATCAAGAAATTCTAATCAGAAAACTGAAATTTTCATGGATACTGCTGGTAAAATATTGTTGGTAAATTGTGAACATTTTCCACGTATGAAGCTAAGAGGTGCTCCCATAAATTGATTTTAACCTCATAAAATTATAACCTAGATATACATTAACCATGAATTACTGGTTTTAAAAACTCTTAGGTGTGTACACATATTTCTTATTATGAAGGAATACTAGTGTTTAAGCAGAAGTTATAATCTCAAATAAAAATGATTAGCTGATATAGACATTGAAAGGTCTTGATGAGAATGCAGTAACTGAGTTTTGCTTTGCTGCAATTGCTTCTCATAGCTTAATAGTAAAGCACATCTGATCTGTAGGTGGTTTCTCAGATTAAAAAGTAAATTTTCATTAAGACTTTCAATTTGTAAATGAATAGATATTAAATTTGGTGTTTAAAAACAAACAAAAATAAAAAAAAAATTTTTATTTCAATACTATTTCCAAGAAAATAGAATTTTCTATTTTTTTTTAATAAATTATATTTTAAATCTAGTTGATTTGTTAAGGAGGGTGACTCTTGATAATAGGGGCCTGGTGAGATGATCAATATGAGTTGACCTAATACTTGGGAATTGGGTAGATAAAACTGCTTGTAAACCCTTGGGTAGTTTTGCTTGCATGAAATCAGGAGTGACCAAGATTTTGAGCATACTGGGCTTGTTTAAATATTGATCATGCCAGATTATGCGCTCTCCCCCAGAAACTGGTCTGCTACACATAGTCAGGGCATAAACCACAGGTTGGCTCTGTGGGTATTGAAGAAACAAAAATATACCTGAGCATGTATCCAAAACAGGAATTAGCTCGCAAAATTAAAATGTGGACAGTTTAGACATTGAAAGAAAAAAGTCAAATCTCAAGCTACAACTATAAAAATTCTTAACTTTTTCATAAATATCACAAATTAAAACAGATTTGGAGATAAAGTCAATGAATAAAGAAAATTAGTAAAATTTTAAATTTTTTACTTCTTGAATTAAAAAAAAACACCAAGAGAAAAGAATTATTTTTTTGAAAAATTATTTTGTCTATATTTCACAATTAAATTTAAAATATATTAAAATATATGGTAAAGTAAACTAAAGACAAACTCACTTTCCCTGAAAAAAAAAAAAAAAAAGCTGTCTCTCTGGAATTTTATAAATACTGTTGGTCTTGTAATTAATTTGTTAATCTGACAAGAATTATAGAAGCCAACGCCCTACACTTAGTTTCAGAAGCGGCTTAGGGGGTGGGGGAGGAAGGAAATCTTAAGGGAGATGACTTTCTTTTTTTCAGCACCTCCTTGTGTAGTTTGTCGATCCTATCGCCGATATTTATCGATTTTTAAAAATTTTTTTTTAACAGCGAGGTTTACTCTTTACAAGGCTCTGGGGGCCACTCGAGGTAAAGTAGAGGAAAACATTTGTGGATTTAGGAGTGGAAGACAACGGTTTGCCCCAGTCTTGAACAGGTTAGGAATGTAGTGATCGGAGAAACATCCTGTTGGGAGTCGGTTCCACAGTACAGTGGTCCGCGGGAAGAAGCTGCTCAAGTGGAACACATTCCTCACTAACGGGATAAATAGGAAATGTGAGCGGTTTTGTGACCAGGGAATGTAGATCGTCCGAGCACCATCCGTGGAAGTAGCGGTAGAACAGAGAGGCTTTCCACATCCCGCCTGTCGGAGAGAGATTGAAGGGTGAAAAATAGATCGTCACCCACAAGGGCTCGAAGACGCTTTTGAACACTATCAAGGCTGGAGAGTGCAGTCTGGGCACCTCCTGCTCAAATATGACAACAGTTCTCCATTTTTGGCCTGATCTGGCCCGTGTAAAGATAGAGGATAGCAGGAAGGGTTAAGTATTGTTGATTTTAACGTCCGAAACAATTTCCACCACATATTCACCGAATTACGTCCCTTAAAAGTTTCCTTAACTAGCTTCATATTCTGAACTCTTCTTGGGGGTGGGTCTGAAAATTCGAAATGCAGTATATTTCAACTATTTTTTCCTGTAAATTTATTTATTTCAACCTCTGCGACCAATAAGTCATGTATCAAAATGTGTAATAAATAATTATTGGAATAACAGAACATTTAAAAAATGCATTGCGGACGCTTAGAAAAACGTGAGGGTAATTCAGAGTTTGGTGTGCAGATTGTTTAGCAAAAAAAAAAAAAAAAAAAAAAAAAAATCAATAATAACCTTCAAAATTAAACAAAAAACCCCAACAACAATTGACCGAAGTTTAGCATTAAGAACCAATGTGTCCAACCTTTTAAAGAAAAAAAAAAGTGTATGGTAGAGCAGGCGACAATGAAGATTCTCGAAGTCTTTTTTTTTTCCTCATTCAAGTTTGACAAAAATACAGTAAGTAAATGTGATTAACGATTTCATTTCTCAACATATACACATTATTATTATTATTATTATTAAATTATTAATTAGTAATTTCTTTGAAAAAAAAAAACAAAAAAAAAACGACGACCTGCAAGGAAGGTTGTTAAAATTAAATTATAAAATAATATTTAATTCAAATAATAAAAATTAAGCTGTGGAAAAAAATAAAAAATAACCTTCAAAAATAGAAATTTAAAGGACTCGGTACGAGCAAGCAATTAAAAAAAAAATGAAGGGAACAATTTTAAATAATTAAAAAAAAAATTAAAATATTAACAAACTAATCAAGAAAAATCCAAAAAAATTGTTTCGTTAATCTTGAATTTTAAGGTCAGAAAAATAATGAATGAAATGAAACATAAAAAAAAGCCATGGTGAACAAAATTGAAAAAGATTGAGTAAGAAGAGATGGTCAAATTTTTCTTTCTACGTGTACATTTAACAATGGTGGCAGATAAGTGGTCTTGTAATTAAATCTGCACCTACTTTGTCTGCGTTGAGAGTTGGGTTCCTCAAAGAAGAATAGAAAAATGAGAAAGAGAAAAAAAAAAACAAAACAAATAACAGAAGATCGGAGTTTATGGAGATGTGTTCACGTACAAGAGGGGGGAAAAGTGTGATTTACACTCGTGCTAGAATCAAAAGTCACGTGTCACCGAAACAGCCAATCAGCAATTGGCGCGTAGCGACGCCCAACTAATGCCGCTTCACACGCACTTGACAACGATGGAGTCTGTGTAAAGCCGTAAAACATGAGAAAACACCTTTCCTCTTTAATAATTCAATAAAAAAAGCAACTGCGTTCGCTTACCTTTGCAGATATGAAAGAAGTAATTAGACATAATGTTTGAACTGAGGTCCGTACTTCAACTTTGTTCTGTCAGTAAAAAATAAAATTAATAGAAAAAAAAAACAAAAAAAACTTAAACTCCCTCCAGCCAGTATGTTTATTTATTAAATTTGATTAGTTTGAAATTCTTTAGTTTAAGAGTCAAACAGTTGTGCAATTTTCCGTGGTCAGTTTTTCGAACCATAATTTACACAAAAAAAAAAAAAAATTGGCGCTACACAATCCTATTTTTAACTCACTTATTACTCTCTCTCTCTCTGTGTCCCCCCCATCTCTCTCTAACGTGGCTGTTACCGTACACTGTAAAATCGGTAGATCTGTAAAAAAAATAAAATCACTTATTGTTCGAATGAATGTTTGTTGTTTTTTGACCGAAAAATTTTTCGGACTTCACATTGAATATTACGCATTTTTTAACTTACACCCGGTGAACATCAAAAAAGGCTACTTCATTTGTAACTAACTTTCTTTATTTCAACTTAAATTGGCACAACGCAGTATTCAAACCGTTTCGCTTTTTTTTTTTTTGTAATAAGCTAACTAACAAATGAGAATTTGTAAAAAAAAAATAAATAAATAAAAAATAAAAATAAAGCACATTCAAAAAAGAATTATTATTTAAAATAAAAAGCAGTTACAAAAATTGAACCTGTACATTCAAACAAAACAAAAACATAACGATCACAACATCCAACTAAAAAATTCTCAACTTTTATTTACTTAGCTCTCTAAAACAATATAGTTTTTTGTTTGATTAACAATCTTTTTTTTGTTTTTACTCATTTTTAAATTTCGAATATATTCTCTAAAGAATGCAGTATCTGATACTTTTTATTAAGCATATGATACTGAGTAACTAAAAATATTGAAATTTAATATTTTTGTATTGAAAGACAATAGGCATTCATTGAATATGGAAGTACATGACAAGGTCAGTAGCAATGTATGTATGTTTACTTTAAAATTCCTTATTATTGGCCTAATTATATAAATTACTGGATCTTGCAAAAGTGGTTAACCAAAGTCACTTCACCACACAATGAAGAAAATAAACCGAAATTATTTACATTTAAAAATCTATTTCAAATAGTTGTTATTTTGAATGGATATTCGACCAATTGACCTATAAAAAAACTGTATACTTTTTAGGTCACTTACAGTGGGCACAAAAGCCCTTGGGTTAATTTTTTTTTTGTTTGAGCCGGGATAGTTGATCTGTGTTCAAACTCAGTTAACTTAAAATAATAAAGAGATAAGGTTTTATTTTTAAATATTGATTTTTCAACATAAGGTTGGCTCTTATTTGAAAAATTGTGTTGCGTCAATCTTTTAACATGTATTTCCTCAAATTTGCTCTTGTGCCAGACCAGATCTTTCTAAGCTTTTTAAAAATAAAAATTTAGGATAAAGCTAGCTAGAGAAAGTTGTGTATATAGTCAGTTGGCAGTTTAGTGTATGGGAATCCAGCTAAAAAAAGTCACAGGTAAAAATGTTGTGGCGTGCTAATGAGATTTGGTAAAAAATTGTTAAGAAGGCTTTGGTGAAGGTTGCGTTTTTGATTAGCACACCACATTTAAATTTTACAAAGAAACACAAAGAAGGAATAACAAGAGATTATTCAGTAATCAACAATAACATATTGAAAAACAAGCGAGTACAACAATTGTGTTTGGTGAAACAAAGTTAAGAAAGAGGAAGTAGTTCCCCTTGTACTGATGTGCGATTGTAAATATGTGTTAAAAGAACTTTCTTGTTTAAAATGTTCAGAGTTCAGCAATATGTGATAACTGAGTTTAAGTATGAGAAAGTTGTACAAAAGAATCTTAGAATTCTGAGTTGGTGACTTGGCTTTTTGGACAGACAATTCACAGCGTAGTGCAATTGTAATTTTGTGTGTGTGAGTGTGAGTAGAAGAATGAGAATTCACATATGTGGTTGAGCTCTGGAGATGTACTGTTCTACTACTGTTCTTTTCTTTGATTTTTGTGTTATTTATACTTTCTGAATAGGCTCCAAGAACGAGAGCGGGAAAAATATTGAAAGGAGTGTTATATTATATTATTGGTCAAAAATCAACCAATCACTGATTTTTATTTTCTAAACCAGGTTTGGCAAAGTAAACATCAGATAATTTGATGTGGCTCATGCAATGCATAAATTGTCCTATAGAAAATAGTGCTTATTTTCTATCCAATGGCTATTGAGTATTTTGTGGGTGTGGTGTATGTAAACAACTGCTACAATGTCACTGAGGGTGGAAGAAAAAGGACAAGGTTAACTGAACACACAACAGACAAAATCCCAGCCTCTTTTTAGGGCCACAAGTAGACAAAATCCCACTGTCATAAATACTAGGATTTCCTAAAAAAAAAAACCCAAAACCATGAAATATATCGAATATGTGACTGTAGCATCAGGGCTGGTGCATCTTACCACCAAAAAATCTGACCAGGGGCGTGGGTCGTTGTGGCCTCTACAACATTTTTTTCAGTACTGTTTTATGGCCATCTGCCATTTTTTAAAATTATTTTTAAACTGATGTTACATTGTCAATCATCTACTAATAATATACATCATGTATGGCCAGTGCACACTACACAAGAACCCCCAAGGAGGTTGGAACTCCAAAAGGGCTAGTTTCAGCAGCGTTTTTTTGCTTTTTGTACTTTTACTCTTTTTCTACCTAAGTTATATTGTCAATCATCAACTATAATAATTGACAAGGCCAGTGCTTACTACCCTGAACCTCTCAACTGCGTGTTGGTGGGGCCCATGCCTAGTGGGGAGGTGGGGACAGAAGCGCTAATTACAGTAGCGCTTATTTTGTTAAATTGTAATTTTCTTTCTAAACAGTTCTTTTAAATCAATTAAGAGGGTTATATCTCAGTAAAATCTGAGATTATCCACTAAGGAAGATCTCTGATTTTATTCTTTTTTACTAATGGTAATAAACAGAAGTCCTTGACTAGTAATTAAAATAAAATTTCTAGTCTCTATTTTTTTAATTTCTAGAAGGTAAAACCGAGAAAATGATCACTTAAAAAATAAAAATGTTTAAATATTTCAACACATGAGAAATTTTCTAGAAAACTGAAATACTGTTTTTAAAACAAATATTTAAGACAATCCTATTTGATTTCTGTTGGAATCTTTGTAAAACTTCTTTTTTTCAGTGGAGATGTGTCAGTGATTAATCTTTATGGAAATGTAAAAATTTGCGATTTTTTTTGAGTAAAATTTAGTCATGAAAATATTGGTGGTTATTACAAGAATAACATTTGCTCAGATATTTTTTAAAAATAAAAAACCTATTCATTATAAAAGTAAATAATTAATGAATATGTACTGAAATTTTCATTTAAATTGGGTAAATCCCTGATTTTTGGTAATTTAAAAAAAATGCTGCTCTTCCCCTCAATTTTACTTTGAGGGTTTGTGACCTCCAGGTTGAGAAACTTTGAAATCTACATGTAATAGAGAGGGATGCCGTATCAAAGTGTGGGGGAGAGGCTGAGACCCTAGTGCCGACCCTGCGTAGTATTGTTAGAAAACGTTTTTTACAGCTTAATCTATCTTCATATATAATCTTTGTGGTTTGTTTACATTGTGGTGAAAACTTTAAAAACACCCTTCTTAATCTTAAGGCTTTTGTCACATAAAACTGGGTCTTATGGGATGTATAGGATGTAAACTCCTATATTTTACAGCCAATAAGTGAAACACAAACAAATACGAGACACCTACAAATAAATCCTATTAAATTCAGTAGATACAAAAACATTTTAAAATTCTGTACAAACATGACTCCAAAATTAAATAATTGGTTTCTGGAACCTGAGTTGATAGGACATGTGGTGTGCTCTCTAGGTCACAGTTGAACTTCAAATGAACTGGAAATAGGCCTGGGTTATTTAGTACATTTCCGTGCAATACTCAGATAGAATTTGTGAACCAGTCACCAACTTGCCGTAAGCCATAAAAGCGGCTTGTCAGTGATGAAATCTGAAATGGAACAGTCAGGATCAGATCTGCAGTGACCAGATCTGCAATGATGCAGTTGGTGAAAGACAGTCAGCAATCCAGACCATGCCTCAATAAACAGTTTTGACGTGTTACCATGACAGCGCATATGTCAGCAATGGTTTTTCTACATACAATCCCACAATGAATGTAAGTCTCATATTCCCTCTCTGTTCACTGTTGTAAAACTGCTGCTATTGCATGCAGTCAGCCAGCAGTCACACACATTTCATTAGTGTGTGCTTCACACACACATACTGGTGTACGTATCATTTCAAAATTTGCAGACTCACTTGCAACAAAATCACTTTGAAACTTTGCAGACTCACTTGCAAGAAATCATTTGGTCTTTTCATAGTCATGACAAAGAACATTGATTGTCAACATGTAAATATATGTATACCTGCCTGTATAAAAGTTATTGTCATATTTAGCTTCATCTTCTTCTACAAAGATCATTTCTTCACGTTGTTTATTATTTTGTATTGTATTTGTGGACATGACACTCGGCTTTTATTTTTCCTCCTAAAATCCGGGTATACTGACCATACAACACTAGGACTCCTAACTATGAAATATATAGAATACATCACTGTCATTGTTAAAAACTGTTTTTTAGAGGTTGGAGTGATTTACATAACTATGAATACAATAATTTCTGTTGCAAAACAAAGTGGATCCATAAACTCATGAAGTACCCATCAGAAATGGATGACTTTATTACTGGCCACCATAAATTCATTTTGACTTCTTTTCCTAGTTAAAATTGAGACTCTTTCTGTGATTAAATTACCAGTCATAGTGTGGGAAATTTAGTGATTCCCCAAATTGAATCATGGCTGATAAACAAAATAGGGACAATTGAACAGTTTAAAAAACATACTTTATATAAGAAATACATTATACAACAAGAATGAGAACAGAATTGCTAAAAATATATTCTTTTAGCAGTTAAAAATCATTGCATCAGGAGCAATATCCAAATACATGTGTCTGTTTGAAATTGATTGAAACACTTATCTGATCCTGTGCTGTCTTTTTCCTATAGCTGCTTGTCCTTGCATTATTCAAGTTTGCTCGTGGCCAGCATCTGTTCTGTTTGTGGTTGTCTCGGTATCTTTGTTTTAGTGCCTAATTTTGGGTCTTAACCATTATTACCAGATAAATGAACCCAACTTTCTATCAGCAGGTGTTATCTACCAAAGGGAGATAACCTATTTTTTTTATATTCTCCCAACATACGGAAAAACATGGAATTCAGTGCTCCACTGCATGTTGGCAGTTCATAACATCATAATACAGTTCTTCATTTTTTTTTTATACAATAATCATTTTGATAAGCATTTCTTTTATTAATACAATATTTGTTATATAAACATAAAATCAATTCTTTATTAATATAATAAGCATTTTCATCAATACAACAGATCAATATATAAGAAAGAAATCATTACTGTCAATATGTTAAGTATCCTGGGTAAGATGATAAACAATATCCGACAGCAAGACCTCTCTGATCAGAAGGTTTTGAGGAGTGTGGAACCACCTCTTAGTTGCTGGTGTTCCCAGGTTCACCCTGACTCGGGGTGATAGCACCTGTTAGGGTCCCAACAATAGGCTAATAGTTAACCCCCAAACTAGGGTCAAACAAAACACTATGAAAGTGTAAAAATAGGTTTTAATACCAGCAGTAAATTTTTTGTTAAAAAAATTATTACCAGCAATACATTATTAAGAGCAATACATTTTGGGAAAAATATTACCAGCAATAAAAATCTTGTTGACACTAAACAACCCACTGAGGTTGACATGCTGTAAAACAAACCAAACCAAACCAAACCAACTCCACATGTTAGTGTAAACATTATAATTGGTGTTTACTTGACAATTAACTTTTTAAGAACTATTCATTAAAAATAATTTCATTGGGTTTGAAATATGATAGTCCATGATATATTATTATTAATATTATTGATTATTATTGATATGTCCTTAAGCATTATTATGGCTGATCATTAGTGAATGCATGCATAAGTTTTATCTCAATTTGAATTATGCCCCTTTATAAGGCTAGGTATAGATTCTTAGCTTATATGTTATAAGTACACTATTACATTTTGATGTAATAGAATAATCTGTCACCCCCATGAGTGACTACACTATAGGTAGTAACTACCTATAACGGACTACAAAGT